TTTTAGGCTTTTTCCTTACTTAAACTTTGTTTTTTTTTCAGTACATTGGAATTTAAAAAGGTGTCTCTTCCAGGATTCGAACTCAGCATCACTTACTTTGAAGCACAACACTTTCTCACTGAGCCATAAACCTCTCTGAAGAACACTACCTTTTTTTTAAACTTAACCCTTAGATTTACATTTACAACTGGAAATTGAAATTTAAAAAGGTGTCTCTCCGGGATTCGAACCCAACACCCCACTCTTTCGAGCACAGCAGCTCCACACTGAGCCACACACATCTCTGCAATACATCTGAGTTTTTTTTATATTTAACCCTTAGTTTCGAATTAACAAAGTGAAAGAGAAAAAGGTGACGGTCTGGGATTCGAACCCAACTTCTTGCATGTACGCGCACAGGGCTTACCCACTCCGCCACAGATCCCTCTGAATGAATGCTGTGTTTTTTTTAAACATACTTAACCTTGAGGTTCAGACTTATAAAACTGGATTAAAAGGAGATTGGCCGGGATTCAAACCCACGATCTCAAACTCAGCAGGACAGGATTTCCACATTGCGCCGCAAACAGCTCTGAAAAGGTAACCCCCAGAGAAAAATGGGGAAGATTTTAAGTTTGTCGTCACAATCTAAACAAGGATAATATACTTAATAGAATGCACACACAAACTATAATTCTACTCTCTTTCTTTATTGTATTTCATCAACATACGCTTGATGGAGCTTTTTCCTCTTTATTTTTGTTTGATGTAAACTAGAATTATACATTGCATGTTCATATATTAAAATAACGTGCTCAAAACAATAACATCTGGCTTTAAATAGGAAGACGGAACAAGAATACATGCCACTGACCTGAGATTGACTCCTAAAAGGAAATAAAATTGGATTACGTTGAATTTTTTCTTCATTATGTTGGTCTCCATATTTGCGAAGGCAAAGGCATATTTGATGGGGAAATGTGAAATAATAACACACGAAAGCAAACCTAATAACACCGTAAGATGTTGACAATAGGTTTCTTTTTGATGCCATACGAACCTTAGGGGGAGTTTTTTAAGTGCGTGGTTTGAAAAGATTAAATTGAACGAACCTAAAAGTATTACATGTACATTAACGTTGCATGGATTTATTTACATAAAAGTTTTATTTACAAAAATATTTCTCTTTCTCCTTACTTTTTACGTCTCAAACGGTAAATTACACATTAAAGTTTCAAAAGAAACATCCAAAAGCATCAACTATAAAGTGGGATTTCACTCCGAAATAAAGCATCTGCCTACGGAATATTCCAAAATATAAAATAATTCAAAGAATTCATGAAGACAAAAAGGCAGAGTCCTCCCCATGAGCAACTCTGAATGGAGCGCTTAACTTTCGCATATTTCAACAAACGGGTGCATTGGACAGTTTCATGACAAATCGATGGAGACTTCAGCGTCTGTCGTACAAAGTTAATGGACAACTTAAAAGCAAAGAGCAAGAAAATTTCTATTTTTCAAACACTGTTTATTCCCTGAAATCAGCTTAAGCTCGTTTCGATATTAGTTACCAGGACTTTAAACTCGTCAGCCATTACGAAGCATGCATTAAAACGCTATTTAGAACGGTACTCCCTTAATCCATTACAATTTACCCACTTGATAAATAGTGCTTGCCAAGTGTTTTATGCTTCAAACAGATGAACTGCATTTTGACGTTGCTGTTGATGGGAACATTTCTGGT